TAAATCCAGTGCTGACATTTCAGTAAAAATACCCAGAAGGAATTCTCTGGGTGCTAGATGCAACACGAAAAAGTATACTAAAGATATCCCGAAAAGGATGACTTTTCGGATTGGTTTTAATGCCAAGCATATGTATTGCCGGCTGAAACAGATTCTGAGATTTCACTTCAGCTACCCCAGCTGGCGTCCGACACATTCCAAAATTTTTCTTCTTCGTGATACGTCTATTTTTAAATCCGTCAGATACCTTCTTTTTTGGCAAATTGGGAGGAGAGAATGCCTGTCGTTTCCCATCTTTCAGTTCTTATTTGGCTTAAATCAACCCAGAATTAAAAATGAAACAATCACTTTATATCTTAGTTGTCAAATATTTCACTTTGAGGGAGGTGTTTGCATATCTGAAAACATGCTGGCCATGCAGTGTCTAAGGACCGGGAGAATCTCGAGGAACCCTTTGGAATCTCCTTGATACCCTTGAGAGCTATGGTGAGCAGGGACTCACCAGTCAAGGTGATAAAGAAAGCAGCAAGTCCAAGTCGCCAGGTGAGGACTAAGAAAAACCTCAGGTTATTCCAGGAAGCCAGCACTGACTTAGGTTGGGTTCCCCAGAAGCTGACCTAGGAATGAGACTTTGGATATAAGTGGTTTATTGGGGGCCGGCGTGGGGGTGGGGTGTCATCCAGACAGAGCCATTGCTAAGTCAGTGAGGGAGGGGAGATCTTTGGGAGTGTGTAGAACATGCCCCAAAGGCATCGGAGCCAAGGATGGAGGAGGTCCCTTCTTTTTTTTCTTTTTTTTAAAGATTTATTTATTTGTGCATACAGACCTGGGGTACAGGCCAGAGGCTCAGGGACAGTGAGAGGCTTCACCAGAGACAGAGTGGGGAACAGAACAGGCAGATCGACAAAGTACACTGCTGAGGGGAGCAGTGGGCGGGTCAGGAGAGGTCTGCCACACCACGTGGTCACCTCCGGGGCAGGCGGGAATCGAACTCATGCTGAAGCAGCTTTAGATTCTCAGTGCTGTGCTTTAACCCGCTGCGCCACCAGGGAGGGCCCGGAGGTGCCTTCTTAACCACCATGGAAATCAAACAAGGAAACTCTGAGAAGGCCTGTAGAGGGCGCTTTCACACATCATTTGCAGACACTTGTCTTGGTTGCAAGTCCTAACAGGAAATAGCATGTCCTTCAGCTTCCAAAGGTGGCCTACTCTGTAGCCCCGTTGCAGCCCCATAAGCTCTTCTCTCTGGACTCTGGGCATGCCTATAATCAGACAGAGCATGCAACTCCGCTACTATTTCCAAGTGAGCCTCTTTTGCTGCTAAAATAACCCATGGTTTATATTTTTGAAATCAACACTACAAATGTCCATCTTTGTGTTTACTCTTTCAAGAGTGAATTTCTTACAATCCCAAGCTGTTCGAGAATGGAACACGTTCTTATAGACCCTGGTTCCCAAACTATGCCTCAAGGTGCCCTGGGGTGCCACGGCAAATTCACAGGAGAGGAAAGGGATATATTAAATGTTTGAGGAAAATACAGTGGCATCTATCCAAGACTGCACAAGCTCAAGGTTGTGGACTATATGTGTTCCCAGAATTAATATATTGAAGTTCTACCCACCCACTACCCCCAGCCCAGGACCTCAGAATGTAACTTTATTTGGAAATAAGTCCTTTAAAGGGGCCATTAAGTTAAAATGAGGCCCTTAAAGTGGGCCCTAGTCAGACTAATGTCTAGGAAAAGAGGAAATTTGGACACAGAGGAAAGATTATACGAAGAGAAGGGGGGATGGGAGCTCATCCACAAGCCAAGCAGCGCTTCGAAGGAACAAACTCTGCCTACACCCTGACCTCCGATTCCAGCCTCCAGAGCCTGTGAGAAAATCACCTGTTTCTGAAGCTCCCCAGCCCCCAACCGTGGTGGTTGCTATGGTAGTCCTAGTTAGCTAACAACTCAGCTTCAACAGCACATTGCATGACATTCTCTTCAAGAGCTGGTCTTTTTGAAAAATTCAGGTTTTGGGAAGTTGCAGTGATAGAAGGTGAGAATTATGCAAAAATCAGATGTCAGAAATGAGGGTGACAGTGTCCAATCTGATCCCAAGGTCTGAGGAACCTAGCAGGGCTCACCACGCGCTCCAGTCATTAGTAGGTAAGTGTGGCTACCTAAGCGTAAAATACAAATATTAACTTGCCTTTCAACTTAGGTGTATTGTTTTTCCAAGTGACTACCATGTCATTAATATCTATTTACTATGTTGAGAGGACCTGACTCCATAATAAATACGACTCATAAACCATTTCTTTTGATGGAGGGGTGCTGTGAAAAAAAATTACTGGGAAGTGAAGGGCTCCATGAACTGAAGGTTGGGGACCTTTGCTGCAAACACAGGAGGGTCTCGGACACCATGATAAGAGGGAACCCTTCTTGGGAACTCAGTGTTGCATGGTGAGGGTGCTGGGTCCAGTTTCCAGCAATAGCCACTACCAACACAGTCCTCTGTGTCTGTGGAAACTCTGAGAGCTGGACACTGTATACAAGACCAGGGGATGCATACATCTCGGAGGCAGCTGACCTTCTCTGAAATGTTCTGCACCCCTAGTAGGACCAATTCATAGTTCCAGGATCCAAGGACCAAAATCAAGGGTGATACACCACTCTCCATCATGCCCAGTAACCCACTGACAGAACATCCTTCTCCCCCCTTCAATCCTGGGCTCTGCAGGGTTAGAGGTCTTGATTCCCAAACCGGGCACGCGTGTTGGAGATGCAGCATGGACTATGTTGACAATATGCAGTGTTGTGTTGACAATTTCCACGGGCACTTTGGACTCGTGAGCAGGGACTCATGAGTAGTCGAGAAGAGGTGTCGCCATTGGGGCAGGGGTAACTGACCCTGGTCAATGATCACGTAAAAGGAGCAGGGAAGTATGTGTGTGGAACCCTGGGGATCACCCTGGGTTCCTCTTAGTACCCATTTGCTCAGCCTTTACTAGGATGGACATCAGCAACAATCCTGGGACACTGAGGGGTGCATATTTCCTTCAGGGCTCAAAACCCTCAGGAGAGAAAGTCTTAATCACGCCATCAGCTAAGCCCTGGGACCTGCAGAAAGAAGAGCTGAGGGTAATGGGAACTCAGAATAGACACCAGTGAAGGAAGAGGATGAATGCTGGTTGCACCAAACCAAACACAGCAATGAGGGCATGGTTTGTCCTACTAATCTCCTTTCTGTAAGTTTGCCTGCAGGAAGAGCTGCCCAGAGGAACCACCAGGGAGGACCTGTTCCTTGGGCATGCATCTTTAAGTAGATCTATGCCACGGGCAAGCGTTCACATGAAGTTGATTCCCTTCCTGTCAAGCCCATACCTCAATGCTGTATGGAGACAGTCGTGTGTGTTCTGCTTGGGGCTGAACAGTTCCCACTTTGTCTTGTTTTCTCATCTCCTCCAGCCTCATCCTCTGAACACACATCCATTTGTCCGCATCCTGCTGAAAGTGCTTTCTGATTGCTTAATGCTGTCCACAAAGGAAACAGGAGGAGCAAATTTCCTGTGAAAGGGAAAGTTAGCTCAGTCTTCTGACTGTAGCGAGAAAATAATGACTTCCAGGCAGCCTCCTCTGGAGCAATGTAGCTGGGCATTTTCCATTCTCTGGAGTGTCCTCTTGTAGCTGATGCCTTCTGAGGAGAAGGTGAAGTCATCCTGTGGCCAGGATGACATCATAACTCTCAGCAACTCAAGATTTAGGGATAGAACATGAATCAGATTGATCTGGGGTGAAATAATGCCAAGGATAAATGCATGTAAATCAGAGCCTGACCAATAAATCTTTTGCAAGTTGGGGACCTATCCCATAGGGCTATTGAAGTGATTAAATAAATTAATGTATGTAAAATGCTTAGCAGAGCACCTGGCATCAAGCAAGTAATCAATAAATATTAGTTTTATTATCAACTGTGAAATGAACACTGGGTGGTGAAATGACTGTTTCTTCCAGGGGGTGGCCACTTAACCAGAACTGTGCTCAGCCTTAGTATACTCCTGATAACCTGTGGTAAAGCTGATTTTCCCATCTTAAAGATATGGAAGCCAACGTTCAGCAAAATTGGACATCTTACCCCAGGTCAAAGAGCAAAGGAATTATGAGTTTGGGATTTAGAACCAAGCAAACCTGACCTGAACCCCAACAGGGGCATTTTCTGTGTGAACTTGTGAATCAATTGTTCTAGGCTTCAGTTTCCTACTCTATAAAATAGGATCATAAAGTACCTTCTTTAAAGATATACTATGAAAATTGCATTATTATATGGAAAGCACTCACAACAGTGTCTAGCACACTCTCAGCACTCCATAAAGTATCAGCTATACCTCCATATATATTACATAGTGTGGGTGGAGAGGGAGGGCTTTGAAGGGTGAGTAGGAGTTTGCCAGATGGAAGGGGAGAGAAATAAGCACGTCAAGTTAAGATAACGGCTGAGCTAGAGGCACACCAACTAACTAACCCAAATTACAACAAATTATTAGTGGTTTAGTGGCAGGAAAGAGCAGAGTTTGGAAGGAAGGGATCTCTTGTAGTTAGGGAGAGAAAAAGGGTGGAGGTCCTCAGGTCTGAGAAGAGAAAGCAGAATTTGGAGAATGTGGCTACCTTGGCAGCCTCCAGTCCCCAATCCACATTTGCCAGCAGCCTGGCTGCCTTCAAGACCCCGCCCCCATCAACCCCAGCCAATGAGGATGCCCTCCACTGCGTCTCGTTGGTTGCCTGGCAACCGAGTTGGCTCCAGCCTAGAGGTTAGCGAGGGAAGCGCAACGGTTAACAGCCACTTTCTCTCCAAGACAGTGAAAAACTAAGCAGCATACTCAGGATGGGGACCCAGGGGGCTTGCTGTGGGCCCCCCTGAGACTGTCGGTGAAGTTTTGTTTTGTTTTGTTTTGTTTTGTTTTGTTTTTAGTCTATATGTTATTTGTGTTTATAGGTGAGAGAGAATTCCTCCCAAAGAGAAGGAAAGCTCATAAAAGTTTATAACTCTCTAAAAAGTGAAGAATTCCAGGCTTGACTGATCCACCCCATCCTGACATCCGTTATCTATTGGTGTGAACCCAGATGAGCTGCTTTCTCGTTACTCCTCAGTCAGATACACCTACAGAGTTTCTGTAATAGGAACTTGAGAGTCAGGAAGAAGTTGCTTGTACGGTGTCTGCTGAAATAGAAGATTCCGAAAAAGCCCTTTCTGGAGGAGGCACAGATTGAGTCTGAAGGATTTCCAAGATGACCAAGATCCCAGCCACCAAGAAGACACAGAGTTCCCCCTTCTTGGGGGTCCTCTGGCCTTTGCACGCCTCAGATCAACTAACTCAGGTAAGTCTCCCCCTCTTTGCCAAAGCCACTCATGTTTTCCAGACCAAGTGAAACAGAAATTCCCCTCAGACCAACAAGGGACAGGGAGGAGAGAGGAGTAGTGGTGTAATTAAATTGTCGAGACACATTTCTACAGCTATCAGTGGCTAGTTCTCGTAAAGAATGAACACTCGAGCCAGAACAGCAAGCCATCCTATTAGCCAGTAATTCCAGAATGATGGAATAAATCGGCAGTGACACTGTAGAACATCAGAAAAAAATTAAGATGAATTGTAGGTTTGCCGTCGCGGGAATGATTTTCAGTTCTGCTGGGCTCTCTCAGGGGCTGGGGTCGAGCGCTGGCGTCTAAGCCTGACTTTACCCCTTCCAAGTTGTTGGGAAACAAGTCGTTTAGTACCCTTGAACCTTTATTTCCTTGTGTCTGCAAAACAAAACAGGCCAATACCGTGTGAAAGCTGGATGAAGTCACATACGAAACTTGTGTTGCATGATGCTGGCACTTGATCATGTGTCGATGTGGCAGGAAATGCTGCTGTTGATTTGGGAACTATAGAAGGGAACAGTATATATTTCACAGCCTCACGATCAGCATCTATACATTTCCGCTTTTAAGTGATCATGACCAATAGACCACAAATTTTAAATGTGTGTTTGTATTGCATCCTCAAGCCTCCCCATTGCCAATGATTGGCCAAGGTAGGTGAGCCGTGGGAGAGAAGGTTAAAGGCACTGCCAGCCCTGGGAGCTCATGGCTCCTGCTTGTGCTCCAGGAAGAAGCACACAGGGGAGTTTGCGACTCACCAGCACCCACAGGTGCCAAGTTGGTCCAAGAGTTCCCGAGTGTCTCTTTTCTCAGGATGAGGACACCCCTTATTGTTCAGTCTTTGTAGGGTGCTTACTCTGCTAGGTGCAGTGTCTCAAATGCTGCCTAGAAGTGGGTTTCATCCACACAGCAGCCCCTCTCCGGTGGGAATCTCCCACACTGCAGTGGGGGAGGAGACTGAAGAACAAGGTGGAGGGTTCGGAGTCTGAGACGCGTGTGAGCACGTGGGTACCCAGTAGCCTGGGTCTGTGTCCTGGGTCTGAGCCCTTGGCAGTAAACCTGGGTAAGCTGTGGGACTTCTCTGCCTCAGTGTTGCCATCTGTCAAATGGGGACATCATCACTGTGACTATTAAATTAGCATGTCCCAACAATCTACAGCTGTTTCTGGCATTGTATGCACTCGCCAGATCTTAGTAATATTGTTCATTCATTTAGCAAACATTTCTTGAACCTCCTGGTAATATGCTAAACATTTGCTCTTGTAGCAAATGAGACTTGTCTTTAAAAATGTCACAGTCCATAGTGTGTGTGCTGGGGATGAGACGTGAAGGTGATCAGAAACATAATTACCACGATTATAATGCAAGGTGGTTAATGACATCCTGGCATTCAGGATTTGAACTCGGATCTGTCTGGCTCCAGAGTTGAAGCCCTCCCTGCCTCCCCACACTACCAAGCAGCGAGTGATAGGTTGATACTGCATGGAGGATACAAAAAAGAAGGTGTAAGATACAATCACTGGCTTCCAACAGCTTTCAGCTTTGGCGGGGGTTATGACACAAAGAGAACAGGAAGTGTCAGCCAGGTGAGCATCCACCTGCAGTGAGCGAGGGAGGATCTGGCTTTACAGAGGCGGGTGAAGCCAAGCTGGCTTCACGGTAACACACATGCGTAAGTCCACTGTGCACCAGTGTCACGGGGGAACCTGAGTGGGCCCTGAAACCCTCTGCAGCTAGCCATTTCCTTCCTGGGGAGCTGGGGGCAGACGTGCTTCTATTCCAACTAATGTCACAGTGATTCACAGTCTCTTACAACAGCTTCATGTAGGTTTTTTCCAATGGAAGGAATGTGGCTCATACATGCAAATCCTCTGCTTAAATTGCATTTGTTTGGAAGCCTTCTGTAGGGGCTACCTCATCTTGCAAGGAGGCTCTTTTCCCTTTGTTTCCCTAGGAAGCAAAGAGGAGTCTCAGGAGATTAGCCACTGGGGAGATATGCATCAGGGCTGTGTAGATGACCCTGGACCCACATTTTCCTCCTTGGAGAAGGCTGAAAGGACCGGGACACTTAGACCCCCACCCCCTGCCCCTGCTCCATGTTCTAGAATGGAAATGCAGAACTAGCTGTTGGCAAAAATTTCAGAGGTGTGGAATCCTTTAGACATGTGCCCCCAGTGGACCCGGCACTGGGCAAATTCTCTGGTCTAAATCCTCAACAGCCCCGCCCCACTCTGCATCACCGATGACTTGAATAAATAAAATCAAATATAAAAATTATCTAGCAACCACTGAGACTCAACTCTGAAGACTCCCAGCCAGCTGCACCCTTACTGTTGGATAACACGTGAGGCAGGCCAGGGAAACAGCAGTTCCTTCTTTTCTCTTTCCGAGGGAGACTTCTGGCTCCATTGTTACTGCCTGAGACAACTGCCCCATTCAAGTTGTTGCTTTGTTTTGTGTTCCCCCCTGCCCGCCCCCCTTTGTACCGGTAATGGCTGCCTCAGCAAATCTTGCTTTGTGTAATTGTAGCCCATGACAGGCAGCTCCCCTCCATGACGGCCCAAGGTGGGGGAAGGCAGGAGCCCTCATGACAGAGAAGCAGGCGCGCTGGCTTTCCCTGGAGGAAGCAACTCTTTGTCTCAGCCACAAAGAGGCAACCCCCCACCCCCAGCCGAGGGAAGTGAGGAGGGGGCTGCAGAGGTGCAGCTCAGGGCCTTGCTTCAGCAAGCTTCGTGTCCACTGCACAGATGGTTTTGTTGGAAGGATGAAATAAAAGGATGCATGTGAAATACTGAGCACAAGGCTGCTTAACCCCCAGTACCTGACACAGCAGCGGTTTCTTACTGCTGCTGGCCTCCTCTCTTCTCTAACTGGACATGAATGACCTCAAAAGCACTCTGAAGACATGGTCAGCCCAGATATGAAGTCCGCCAGGCTGAGTGTTAACTATAAAGTCACAGAGCAGGACCTATTATTTAGCAGGCCAAGTCCCAGTGCAAGCAGACGTGGGGAGAAACAGGTCTAGGGAGATAATTAAGAATGGGCCTGTGAGGCTTTTTGCATGAAGCTGGAGGTGCCTTGCAGGAGAGAGTTCTTCTTCCTCTCGCTCAGCAATGTTTGACCCCGTTAAAAGCCTTACTTATATATATAAAAAAAGGGGGGGGCGAGGGGGAAACTTGAGCATGATTTGATTTTTTTGGGATTTAACTCTCAGCCTCAGCCTATTACTCATGTCTGAATACTATGGAGAACCAGAATGAAATGAGGGGAAAAAAGGAAAATCTTGTGTGTCAATTAGGATCATTTTTGGTTGCAAGCCTGAAAAGCTGTGACATAAATATGAAATTTATTTTTCTTATAGAACTCCTAGGGTGGATGCCTGCTGGCATTGGTTAAGGAGCTTGATAATGCCAGAACTGGCAGGTCCTTTTCCTCAGGAGCACAGAATGACTGCCCCAGCTCCAGCCACCACAATGAGATTCCAGTAGAAAAAGTGAAGAATAAGAGCTGTTTATCCTTTGTGAGACAAACAAAAGGCTTTCCAGGAAACTTCCCAGTACATTTCCTCTTATGTCTCATTTGCCAGAACAGTGTCAACTGCTCTTTCTAACTGCAAAATTGACTGGGAAAATGTGCGTCTATCGTTGAGTGTGGAAAGGTATTGGGAGTGGGTATTGCCAACAGTCACTGGCACAATTTCACAAAAACGTAGAAACTGGGGATCATAAGCCATACAGAGAGAGTATCTGAAAAAGACAGACAGCCCCTACTTAACAGACACCTAGGTAGGAAGCCCAAAACGCATTGACGCATAGCGGTACTTTTTAAAAAAGTACTGCGCAGAATCCATCTGAGGGGCTGCGGGAGCAGAAGAGGAGCAGAGCGCTCCGATGCGAGCACTCATTCATTCATTCCACTACCATCAACTGAGCTCTGCGTATATGCCAAGCAGGATCTAGACGCTGGGGATAAAGGAGTAAAAGCAGGCCATTGCACGGGAGACCCCTTTTGCAAAGCCCACAGGAAACTACACTGAGAGGGAACTGCGGCTGCGCACGGGCGCCATCTTTACTCCCGCGCCGCGGTCTGTTTCCCGCCTTGGGTGGGTCCTGAAGAAACTCTGCTTAGACCAGTGTTGGCACGGCCCTGGCAAGAAACCTACTCCTGACCCTTGTTCAGCATTTCACAGCCTCCAAAGACTTGGCTGTCAGCTGTTAAATTCAAAACTGCAGGATCCATATGGGGCTTCATAGCAAGTAGCACTTACATAAAATCTGACAGAAGCCAATTAAACCTTTCCTGGACGAAATAAACCAACATATTTTTCTTGGAGATCTTTCTGACAGCTAAATTCAGAATCATAATCGCTGGTAATGGGATACCTTCTATCATGAGATGGTGGCATTTTCCCTTCTAAATTCCTGTTTTCAAACTCTGCTGAAAAGCCTTCTTGTGGGGCTCAAGTTGATCTAATGTATTTCTGTCTAAATTGGAATTTATGCGATCGGTGGTTTTATTTAATAACTTGAAAATTAGCGACGTCTGGCGATCTGCTTGCAAGGCTGAAAGTGCCTCGGAGCTTCTGGATTTCACAAAGTGGGAAGATTATAAAGCTGGGAGGGTTTGTGGGGGGTGTGCTCAGCATTGTCAAAGGCTTCAAGGGGTCCCGGATGGGACAAGGCAGGGCAAGAATATGTCCCACAGCAGCCTTGTACAAGGTCAAGGTCACCTTCAGAGGTATGTACTTAATACCCACCATGACCGATGTTTGGGGTGCTAAAATGAGTCAGACCCCGGGCCTCCTCCCAAGGAACCCACAGTTTTGTTGGAGAGCAAGGTGATAGTTAACCATAAATCAAAATGGCAAATAAGTGTCAAAGATAGGCAAAGAATTAATGGGGGGAGGGAGAGGTAATTTCAACCTGGGGGGGGGGAAATAGGTGATGGAGCCATCTGG